ACACAGCAGTTATACTAATACCCGTACACGATGAATCGACTATGGCGGTAATCATGCATGTGCAGTTGTAATCTTTTGTTTAATAATCAGCGAAATATCCCCCTTTGTGTTTTTAATGAAGAAAGATGATGACGGAACTGAACAGAAATAGCTTTACCAGTGAAAATGGGTACAGCTGGCATACATTTGTCAATATTAACCAGTTTTGATCTTTCATACGTCATTCTAAATTTGATCAAATGTCTATTGGTTTTCACAACCAACCCGCGCTATATCATAACGGACACAGCTCACTTTATATACGAGATTGGTCAGCATGCTTCATATCTTGCCATCAATACCGGCGCATACATAAAAGACACTTAAATCGAAGTAGATTCTGTTTGTTATAGATAGAAGGAGGGTTTTGTTGTCGTAAAGTGTTAAGAGATTGGTGATAAGAATATGACACTAAAATCTGTATGTTGATATTCTAATTCTGATATTCTTACCCGCTTTTTGAGATGAAATTATCGCGCTTAACCGTGATAGAACAAATAATGCATTCTCTATCTATTTACATAGCAATCAGTATGTCAAGAGTCAAACATTGATAATACGCCAAGATTTAAGTAAAGTACACTGTTGGTATGTATTGCGTTCCTTTGATACAATTATGTTGCGTTCGTATGTCTTTAGACACAATATTGGGTCTTTGGAATCGTTACTCACTCGTTTTTATTCATGGAAATTTTGTTTTTGTTTTCGTGATTGGAAATATGGAATATTTTACGCCTTTGAATTTCATTTTCGAAGGAGATACGAGGCTGTCCAAAACAGCAAATTAAAGCTGGAAATATCGGAATCTGAATTCAAATTCAACATCAATAAAACTCTGGGAAATTATGAAAAAGGACAAAGAGACTAAAACTGGTGATCAGGAAGGGCATCAAGTCAGCAGAGAGCTGTTATATCTCCGTCCGATAGAATTCGCAATGATAAAGGATCGACGATTCCATGTTCTAGAAATCTGGAATAGCGATACTGAAGAAAGAAGTACAATATATTGCTTTCTCCAGGGACATTATTCGAAGAGTCCGATGATGAAGCTACGGGAATTCATTGAAACATGACTTGATATCCAACTTAACATGTGGTATGATTTAAATTTTGTTACCTTACCCAACCCGATTCCACAGTGGTATCCTCACTGATAAAAGTTCAGGAGGACCATCATCTGATATCCGTGCAAATTTGGGTAACGTGTCTTTCTCAGAGACACAATTACATAATCGCAGGCCGATTCATGATCCCGTGAAAACACAAACCGCCCGGGGTGAGTATCGAACCTTACACCTCAGATGTCAATGTTTCAAGGCTCCATTTAAATGTAACACCAATATTAGAAATACGGTCATGATACCACCCCGTTGAATTACCTTAATACCATAGATTAAACAATACCATAGTCACGTGTTTGTAAGCGGATGCTGTAATGCAGCATATGAATAGCCGTCTTACTGGAATCATTCTCCTGTAACAAAAAGAACATGTCTAGTTCATTGTTATCACATGTCTATCATGAAAATTCGTATGTATTAAAGAATCTAATCATTGACTTTATCTCCGAGTGAAATTCGAAAAAAAGAGTTTGATATCAGTGTTGGATTCTCCAAACCTATATAAATAGGAAAGGTTAAACAAAACCTAAAGTACCAATTATAAAGAATTCATTCATGATTTCGGTCGAGTTGCATATTTTTTGTAATCGTTATTGCTAGTTATGGAAATCAAATACGATGTCGACTTAATTATCGCATACAACAACACATGGTAAATTACAAGAGTACATTGTACATCAAAACAGGCACCTGGAAATTCGTGGCGAGAGACGTGGTGATTAGAAACTGGGTGATGACGCAAGTTAGTTTTACTCGCGAAAACACCACTGTGATAACATGCATGTTAATGTCTAGTCAAGCAGGCTGAAACATGTTTCAAGCATGATATACAACTTAAAAATCTAAAGTAATGTACTTCTTCACAAAGAATAATGATACCAAGGTTATAGATGTATTTAGATGAAAAAAACAATCTTGGTAACTTCAAACCATCAAAGTTGATGGTGTGATTAGCCTGAAAGTACAGTTAACTTTATTTGAATGAAACTTTCATTTATTAAAGCCAACTGCACTTTTTGTCGGATTACATATTAAATAATCTAAATATTTAACTCATTCGAATTAAACTTTTATCTCGATAAAGTAAATACAATTTTGTTGGATTTCAAATCGACAATTTTAAACAAATATCATTAAAAAACTATCAAAAAAGTATTTCTTTTATATTTTATTCGGGGTAACCATGTCCTTAAAATCTACGAATCTAACATAGTTTTAAGACCTTTTCACTGTCACGTGTTGCAGAATGCTAACAGAGCGCAAGCTGAACTTGATTCTCGTAAAACAATAAAGGAAAGCAAGCATACGATCGCATTGTGATATATCATTTAAACCTTAAACTTGAAAATTTCCCGAATTCATATACGGTCCACTTTCTATAAATAAATCAACTTGGCTTTCGTTTTATCGTATGACTTTGGCAAAATACGTGTTTGAACTAAAATGATATGATAAACCATAATTGACAGTTAGAAACGCCTGACGCGTAAATACGGATCATTATACAAACTAGCTTCCATAGTAAAGTACAAACAATCTAGACACCTATGTATCAGAATAATGGTCTAGAATTTGTCTAGTGAGTAAATTCTTTATCTTCTAACAAACTCCTTTTTCATTGGGAAACCTGCCTATTACCCGCAGTTTTCGGCTTCATTGAGAAATGTATATGGATCAGGTTCTGTAATCGGGTTTTAAGTATTAGTTCCCACTGGAAACATTCGTATGAACTAATGAGAGTGTCTCAGGCCCAGACGAAAGGTCGATAATAGGAAGAATGTATGAGTGATATCTAAAATTGATTTTGTTACGTAACCGTCGTTTATTTCACATGAAACAAACAGTCTGTATCACCATCACCTGTACAAACAAGTGACACGATCACAATGGGAATCGGAAGAGAGTATCGAAGGCTTACGAAATCCTAATCCCCAACTCAAAATCGATAAAAAGGATAGATACGTACACAAATGAAACACGGACATCTACGACATGTCATGAAAATATATATAAATATAAGTAAGTAACACCTTGTTCTTTACCGAGAACTTGGCCAAACAGCAAAGCCACCAGGTATACTAATGAACATTAAACATTAACGACACACCAGATTCTTCTACGTCAGCTATATATCCCGATCTTTCCCTACAACGAAACCAACATGGACAGCTTTCCATTAAGCTATATCACTAATGTGATATTTCAATTTTCATATTGTGAATTTTCCATTTCTTGATAGCAACATCAGTGGGGAAGTTCAACGGTCGAAAGAGTGATCTCGTGAAGAAATATTCTAATTTTTCATGAATCCTGAAGTGTTTCAAGCTTGTTAGTTGTTTGTTGTAAATCTTTTAAGAACTTGGCATTACTTATTTAGAATGACGTCGATCAACATGGCTGGTGTCGCCAATGATGCAGAAGACACACTATTGTTCCGGAGCAACTATCATTGTACTTTTTTAAACCTATGATGTGAGGAGGCGAGGGAGGTATATCTAATGCGAGCGAAAGAAAGGTCAAAATTTAGATCGGAATGTGCACTAACCCAATAACTTATTAAATTTTGATGACTACTCTTGTCTGATAATTCAAGAAGATAACCTCAAAGACACGCCAATTAACGACACTTTGAAAAACAAATTTAAAGTTAAAAACTGCATCATACATTACGTTCGTCCTTCTATAATTCTTCAGTGATCCTAAATGACTACTTCTCAAGAAAAAGAGGCGATTGAGAAAAAATCATTGAAGGAAAATCAAGTACACGTATATATCCTGAACAGTGATATTTACTCAAACGTTGCACACAGGTTACCTAAAATCCACCAACAATGCCTATCACCTGAATGTCGAAGTCACACAAGTAAATTGCACCTTTCAATACAAATTTAGAATGAGATACAATAGAGTCAAATATGGAATTAAACTGCCAGGAAAGATTATGAAGCACACTCATATCTTTACGAAGCATAATTTGTCATTAAATTTGGAATTCGACGAACGTTGTTCTGGGGAAGGAAACAGTAATACAAAAAACAGATTTTAAAAAATCAATTTTAGTAGACCATATACCAAAATAAAATATTTATGAATTCTAGCTGATGTAAAATCATAGCTACATCTGTCAAAAAGTTTCCAAACTTCATCTGCGATCTAGCAAACAGTGCGCAGTGATGGCTCATTTGTCATCTCCACTTAATGATGATATATATGTACACTATACAGTGTACACTATATTTTAATATTATGTATCAGATGAAAATGTATATCGTGCACAGATATATAAATTTAAATTAGTATATCTTTGAAATATAGGGTTGTCAAAGAGTTCTATACAGATAATAGCAAAGACGATTTCTTAAAAACTTCTTCTCATCTGTCTTCCGATTACTTTGTATTCTGAATCACAGTAAGGGGATGACAAATATCCTTATTCATCAATATTATGCAATCACCAAGCGATTGTTTTTTTCTAGTTAGCAACACGATACCGTAATGTTGTAAAATAGAGCTGTTTAGATCTTTAATTATTGAGTTAATTATTGAGTTATGGCGCTGTATCCGTATGACAAACTTTGTCGCTAATAACTAATAAAAACTGATGCTTAAAACACGGATAATGGAGAGGTATGGCACCTTTCGATGGAATCCATAAAATTGCAAATAAACCCAAATGTTCTTTCACAATAAACTTGTGATATCCTTTTTATGTTCCAAGCATGTGAGCCTACAAATCAGTGCATCGTTATTATTTTCATGCATTTTTTGCAGGTAGCGTAAGCGATATCCGCTGTGATTTGAGAGAAGCGTGACGTCACCATTCGTTTTGATATTTCGGAGATGCTGTTATACGTAACCTTGGCTCTGATTGGTGTATTTCTATTGTGTGTTCCGCTCAAGGTGACTTCCGGTAAGGCATATTGTTATCTTACAAAAACAAACACTCTTTATCTTCAACTTCTTTAAAAGGATATATATTTAAAATGACAGAATACAAGTTTGTAAATAGTAAATACAAAGGGGACAAATTACACAATATCGATAGATCTAGTGATATTATAACTTGATATTAGATTTTTTTATCTGTTTTCATAGATAAGACAGTTATACAGTTCTATTTATATCATTTACATTATAAATACATTACTTGACATGGTGTTACCTTCAATTTTATTGGTAATGATGATGATACTCTATGCATCATAGTGAAAGATATGTCCTCGTTTATACACTACACTGTATATAGGTACATATAACTGAAATCATTGCTTTTCAAGAGTCGTTTTTTCATTGCTGATTCAGAAATTCAAAAATCTGCGAAAATATCTTTTTGTATTCTTGAATGTTATTCTTGATTTCGGATGGATTTACAAAAAAAAAAATGCTACTGTAATGAGCAGGGCAATATACACATGAAAATATGGAAATCGATAGCATTAGACTCGGCAAATAGAAAATAATGCTTTTTTTAGGTTAATTACTGTCCGATGTTTGTCATGAATATGAATGTTGATATGGGGGACTATTGATATCAACGAATGTTTATACAATGGAGCCAATTTAACATTAATGTCTATGTAAAGGGATTTCTTAAAGTTAACACAAAATCGTGCTTGGATGTTATTGAATAATTATCTAAACTTTTGTTTTTCATTAGTGTCTAAAACGTTATAAGAATTTGGTGAAGGAAAGTTAACATGAAAAGGATTTAGCTGTATAACTATTGTCATGAATGCCACAAATCCTGACTGTATCATTAATAAAAGGCATGAAATGAATATATAGAAAAGCAAAACTGCAATATCGAAATTATAAGATACTTATGATGATTCTAAGTAGAAACACCATAGAAAGTCAATGTATGTTGTTCATTGCGGTACATAGAACATAGAAGTATATATTTAGCGAATAGCGTTTCGAGCAAATCAGATGGTGAGTACATCTGTTTTTTCACTACTGAAAACGTTCACTATGACAATATACATCAATAATGTAAATGCTGTAAGTTGAGACTCCTATGTTAAGATTTCTATGTTAATTTTGGGCTATTACGTAAGAAAATAGGAATATACTTTTACATGATCTCATAATGGTGTATGCTTGACTGCATACCATCCAAATCATTACTTAATTCTCGTAAAATCATGTGTTTATCCATCCAAAAAAGTAAAATAGCAGAATTATGGCATATGACGTGACTGTTCAATAGTACCTAGTTAGATCCAGTATGGTTAGCTTTAAAACGAATGATAGCAATTATTTTCTTAACAAATATTGTTTTAAATGACAAAGTAAACTTTCACATACATTTACTTAATAGCAGTTTGAATTTACGTTCAATTAGAAACAAAGAAATTTTGATTTAAAAAAAAGATTACAGAAAGTCTTAGTCAAGCTGGCAATTCTCTGACGCCGGTTTCGCATATGCGTAGTAGCGTCCGGTGTGACGTATGGAATATTACAGACAAGTATCACAAGAGAATGAGAACCGAAAACATCATTTTAGAGGGGAAATCAATCTAAACCAGCACTTAAAGTATCCAATGTTGCACTAGGCGTGTAGAGCTTGACAGGTCGGTACTGATACGTCCATCATACTGGACCTCATCGACAACCAAATCGCCAAACAAGACACATGATATAAAAGAAAGAAATTGCCATTATCTTGATGAAACACGAGTACGTCCAAGCGTGCATAAAAAAAAAAAAAAAAAAACGGTCGATGTAATCCCGACTCTCCTATTGAACTATTCTAGAACTCACTTCAGTATGAGAAATGTTTAATCGCCATGGTGACCTGTTTGATAATGCCTGCTTCGGGCAGCTGGTTTCGTATCGTTGTCTCTTCGGTGTAATGACGTAGTTGGTGCAAAATAGACGAAATGACGAATCTGATATTATAGTAAAACGATCAAAAAGGGTCACGGAGTTCCCTTCAGGTATAAACAGGTCAATAAACACAAACAGGACTTTAAACTTTCGATAGTAAAGTATTCTCTTATTTGTAGTTTACAAAATTTATATGATATTGGTAATGGAACGTTGTTGCTGAAATATATATTATTGTTGCCCTGTGTTTTAAGGTGACAAGGTCCGTAACGCCACTCTACCGAAATTACATTTTTTTATATTGCAATGCATGAATAGTATAGCTATGAGACTGTATGGTATATAGTGATATTTCACTGGGTATGTTCATTTTTAAACTTGTATAATTTATAGACGGTACTTCAAGATAATTGCATTAAATTATAGTACCGGCTCCAAAACTAAAATGTCCATTTACGTGTTCCACATAATGTGGCCGGATAAAGCCGGTTTTGACTTATTTGAACAATATTCGATTATCGACTGTGATACACGTCAAGAGAACCTGCCATTTTGGCGGTTAATCGTTGCCTTTTCTATACTCACAAAATCGACGTCATAATAGTCACGTATTGGATTGTCATTTATGATGCTTTAAATGACATTTCTGTCCTGTTTTATAGAGGTTTTCCGATGCAGATCTAAACATAGATAGTATATCTGATGGTTCCTTTGTTAGTTACTTGGATTGACTAAGATTTTTGTGGCGGAGGTTGCTGATTGAGGAAGCAAAAACGCTGACCCATCCGAAACTCCTGTTTTCATGAGGTCTTGTATGAATCATTCTGATGTTTATATTTTACGCTATTTTTATCGGATTTGATATAAAATTGAAATTCCAATATATTCGTACCTTATTTGTACCTTACTGTTATTATTATTCCATTCAAGTTCTTTTAAACACTAATGGTATTTTGTCTGATTATCCATATTTTGCGTAAACTTAGGTTATCAAATAATAAAAAAACACGAGGAAATGTCAAGATACTTCCTTGCCAAATTATGTAGGAAATAACCTGTCTGTCACTAATTCACAATGCTTCCGTTAATAAAGATACCCCTAGTGATATATGTCCTTCAAACTTCCTTTATCATTCATCGTATCCCTGTTTAAACAAATACATAATATATTACCAAACACGGTGTCTTAGATATTTTTTCCATGTTGATAGGTTTGGCTTTATGATAATTGGTGAACATGATGTACCTTTTCCTATGTTTTAAACTAAAGACAGAAGTCCTAGAAGAAGAATAAACTGATGAATTCTAGTTGTATCGCCATGACAGGAATGTCTCCTCCATCAAACAAGGAAATGTTTGGAATTTTGTAGGAGACTTTTTAAAGCGGTGTACACATAACCTGTGAAGTAAAATTGAAGTCCGGCTTACATAATCTATGGTAACGAATCGGAGAGCCAAAGAATTCAGCATTGGTTTATCTCCCCCTTCCCCCCGCCATGTCTTTTTTTTTTTTTTTTTTTTTGTTTGTTTTTTGTTTTTGTTTTTGTTTTGTTTTTTGTTTTTTTTTAAATAAAAGTGCTTTCTCCTGAACCAATAGAAGAATACCGAACGTCGCTGTTGTCTAATGCATGTACATTTTGTATAAGGAGGCCTACGTGTGGTGGCGATACAGCTTCTACTTAAAGGAATTTATCAGTTCATTTTCTGCTAGCTTTTCTGTCTTCAGTTTAAGACGCAGCATAAGATATATCATGTATATTAAAACTTAAGTCCCACTTGCTTATAAACTTCGGAGACCAGTACAAGTACATAGACAAGTGTTTTGGATACGTTAGGCCTAGTAAAATTATATCTCATTAAAATGTTTACATTTCAACTTAATTTAGATCTATGAATCACTGTACAAATTCATATGAAAAATACAACATTTCCTGATATTTCAAATCAAAAGCATGGTTCGTTCTCTGATATAATATAAAATTGACATGTCTCTATCCTACATATCTTTGTAGGATAACATGCAGGTATCATTCTGTAAGATATCAAGAAATAAATGTCAGATGTTTTTACTGCCAGTCATCACGATGGGAAAATGTACATTTAGACGAAATCTTTTTAGGTGTGTGAAGTCGATCTGCATCTAAAATTAATCTTTGAATCACTTCTATATCTAATTCACCAGTAAATATAATTATAGTCTTCCAGGATGGGTTCGGTAGGTACCGTAAAAAGCAACTTATAATATGTATCTACTGAGGATAAACTTAGATGTTGTTCGGATTGGTGAGCAGACTCTTACATTTCAAGAATAGTACAAGTTTATGTTTCGATTTTAAAGTTCATATGTAAAACGCATGCACATGTTTATTGCACCTTTAAGCATGCACGGAGTGATTAACACAATTTTTCACGAGTAGTATACTGCAGCACACAGCTGTTTTGTCTTTTGATAATTCGTCCCTTTGCTAAAGTATGTTTTGATAAAAAACAGTCTATGGGAATGAAAGAAATATAATGACTCAGAAATAATATTCTTTCATCAACTTGAAAGCAGTGTGTACAGATGGGTGGGAAACGTTGACTCCCTGGAATCAGAAACAAACATGGGAATTGGTTCAAAACAGATGAAGGCATGTGTGTCTGAATACCTCGCCTATTACTGCGACCGTCTATCGTCCCTCTTTACATCAATCGAGTCTTAGCCAATCAAGCGCCGACAAAATCCGATCTTTTGTGTTCGAGACAAACTAGCCGAGGAATAAAACTATTATTTCTCTGTCTACTTATCTGGATAAAACAGGGAATATATTTGGCACGGAATATTAGACTGTCGCCGAAATTCCTACTTCCGGTTTCGTTTCCACACAACTGACGCCAATTTCCGGTATATTGATTCTGGTGGCCGTGATCGCGGGTTAGATGTCATGTTGTTGGATGCTATTATTGAGCACGGTTATTAACGCAGATAGAAGCGACTATTGGTCAGTATAACTCTCAAGTAAATGGCTTCCATGACACAACAATCGCCATTAGCTTACGCCTGGAGGAGACAAGTTGAGCTTGGGAGCTTTTCAGCATGACTCCGAGAACACATAAAGGGTCATTATAACTTTGTTTGTCTACAAATGGAGGATGAACGTGTTACTATGGAATGCGAACCTTCTGACATTATATAATCTAGATCCCTGAGATGCTTGATTACATTGTAAAATGTTTAATGGCCTGTACATACTCCTAAGAGTACATAATCACATCGGGTGCATCGTGCCACAAGTGTAGGAATGTGTTAAAGTTCCCTAGTACACACTTCTTTAATAATCACACTGTACTTTTGGTAAAGACTGCAAAATAGATAACTGATAACATTGTGAGAAACGACTTGATGCGTCACAATCGATAATGTCAATAACGGTTTTACCTAATGATATTATCATTTGATACAAATCTTAATTTCTTTTCAAAACCATAAATCGCATAAAGATATGATATGATAGCCATAAGATCCCCAACAACATCAATTGTTTCAAAGTTAAAAATCAAAAGATCCTATTTTTGTGAATGCAACAGAATTATGTATAATATAACGATTATTTCCTTTGTTGCTTTCAGTGGTCTTTTAAATTTAGAGTAAGGAGTAAACTCGAAATTTCAACCTCGTATCCATTTTGTAAATCCGAAAGTCCAGATATCATCTCAGGTCTAGAACGGAAAATTTTTGTTGGAGGGCATTTCATAAATCATTTGACAATGAATTCAAATCCGATAAACAAAACGTACTCCAGTCAGTTATCTGTGTTATTGTACAAAGCAACGGGCCGAAAACGATCTACATGAGTGACCCAGTAGAGGTTTAGATCAAACGAAAGACGACTTTATACCACAGGGACATTCTCCATCCATTAAATGGTTTTATAGGTCAGTGGTTTCAGGAACAAAATTATAATCTTTCTTTATGAGTGTTAAATTGACTAATGATAGGATCGAACGATGAAAGTTATTACATTATTGTATTTTAACCAGACAATAGCTCATAATATGAAGACAATAGCTGTGATCCGTCCCGAGATAACCTTTACTACTTGTAGAACAAACAATGTTTTGTTGCAGAGAATGGACATCGATTTTGGGAAGGACAAATACACATTCTGTGTACTATGAAAATTTGGCAAATTTGCTTGATAAATTTCGTGATCATTTGACATATTACAGAATATGTAGTCGTTTGCTCAATTGTTTACGACATGTTAAATTTTCAAGTGATGTTAAAGCCGTAAAATATTAAATCTGACATTAGCATCATTAGTGAGAAACCAAGATGGCCAGCTGTAACTTATATACCTTCCCGAAATGAAAAGCATATTCCTAATTAAACATTTGTTGAATTGAAATTTGTCTCTCCTTTAATCGGTGTACATTTGAATGCATGTTGGTATATACAAGGCACAGCACTTTTGGGCTAGTGATGCTTAACGTCCCATGACTATGTAAACAAAATATGCGTTGTCACTTTTATCTAATATGTTGACAGCATTGATGTCGTACTTGTTGATAACACATTAAAGATTAAATCGTTTCATTCTCAGCATGTTACGAAAGACGGGGCTAATGTTTTGCGGTGGTCCTATCTTACTCAAGTATTGATTTTCGTGCTTTGTTTATTAAACTTTGGCCTTTATAACATAACTAACTCTGTTATCAGTATAATGACACATACTGTATAGCAGTTTGATTTGGGATGTGGGGGGGGGGGGGGGCTAATATTTCTATGTAAAGAGACATGACAAATGGTTTACAGCGAAATTATACCCACCACAAATATTACAAATTATACAGTATTTGCTTCTTCGTAAGGTTAAACCGCGTTATATAACGCTGCATGTTAGGCACCAGTCTGTAGCCAAGTATCGATATTTAAAAAAGACATTGCTGACGGATGTATGTACTTTTCATAGTCTCTGGAGGTTCGCTGGGTGATCGTGTACATAAACGTCGTTAACGGCTACAATAAAGCATAGTGCAGTTTAGGATGAAAGGTTAAAAGCGGTCGATTCAGTTTCACAACAAGAAATTTAGTATACCTTTAATGAATGTCTCATTAATAATCCCCTCTTTCATTACTGTTCTGGAACCAACTTTTTTTTAAAAATGTGAATCAGTCACAAACCTACGTTAATAGTTTATCGCTATTGACCCAGGTTGTCATGGAAATAAAGGCGTAATGTGGTTAAATGGAATAGAACGAATTCATATAGCTCAAACACAAAATTAATACTACAAGATATATAACCATTTTGATTAACCCTTTATTCAGTAATGAAGTTGTCTTATAGGATCAATCTAATTTAAGTCAGATATGTGCATCTCATTTCGATTCGTTTCCTGTAATTCACATAGCGCATTTCATAACGAGACATCGAAATCTAATTAGACACACATATCGTAAAATTGTGTGGGTTTTCCTGATAATTATATCAAAGGATGTCTTTTATTTATTTTCTATCGTAAATATTTTTTGTTTACGTAATACCGAGATATAGTTTAGGCTTTTTTCTCCTTTCATCCAATTTTTCACTGGTTGAATATCCTGATGTTGTGACTTGTGACTAATTTAGACACCACGTGAATCTTTTTGCTTAAATGGTTACCTATCTTTTGTTGCAGTAGGTTTTCATAGATATTACTTCACATTAATTTCACGCTTAAGATAAATACCAGTTATCAATCGTTTTTGAATCTCTTTGTTGATGCTAGAACTAATTTCGTTATAATTATATCTGTTTAAAAAGTAATTTCCATGTGCACGTAAACTACCCCTGACTGACAGCGTTGAATATTAATTTTATGGTTTGCTGACATCAAATGTCCATAATTCCTCCAGAAAGACATTTTAACGCCAACTATAACGGATCTGCAGTCTCGTGGAAATTATACATCAATTTTAACCACAGACTGTGAGAAGATGGATGTCTTAAATATTGTACTATCGAAACGCTATACGTTTTCCAAGTGTTTACGAGACTCGTTTAATGCAATAATAATTTACGTAACCTGCATTACACAAACAACATTTCCCTTTCATAACGTCATACGGAAAGCCTTTTTGTCAGCGATTTGTGAGCGGCTTTTGAAAACTTTGTTAACGGTACCATGTAAATTCGCCTAAATTTCAGTGGAATTTTATCCCCCCTCCCCTTCTCTTTGCTTTCAATTGTAATATCGGGACATATACCAGGTGAAAGACTTTGTCAAAAGGAAGTAAAGATTGCTAAAAATCTTAATAATTCTATCTGTACACAGGCCTATACATTTGTGTCAAGGGAAAACACAAGCGATTTTGGAAACTTTGGTGATATTTAAGCTGTATCACAAATAATTTTTTTCCACTGTCGATCTGCCCTAGTATACTGCTTCCGTCTATTTTTATCTGAGACATCATCTATTTCTCTGGTTTATTGACATTATATTAAGAAGTAGGAAGGTTTAATTTTTCACGTAAATGACGTAATGTTTTATTTTTTTTCTGAAGAGAAAGCTAGCAATTCAATCTAACATTGAATATTAACACAACTTAAGATAAATGATCCAGCTGACACCTTGATGACCTTAATGCTCCTATAAGAAAACTTCTGTCGGGCAAATGACGTGTGCACGATCTGATTATCTGCTATGCACATCGTGCATGTTCTATTAAAAGGTTAGTGCGCATCACGAATACCAAAGGTTAGGGTGCTTTATTGACGCTTTCCGTTATCTCGCAGAAATAATGTTTTATGACAAAAGTTGACACGAAACTATTCAAGATTCATTGTGTCAGCGGATCTCATTGGCGATCAAAGCGAGCTTCATAAATGAACGTGCTTAACATTTCTGTATTTTATTGCCTTTACTCAAGACTTCTAGCCTCTTGGATGCTATGTCATAATTTGTTATAGGGAAAAAATCATTGTTAAATCTAATGTGCAGAAAGAGGATTAAATGGCCAATGTTAACTTGAGGATGAATAATTTCTTTGTGATGCAATTGTTATGATGTATGATGACTGCACACTTCGTTTTTTATGTGTGCATCATTTATCGATGACTTTAAGTAATCCAATATCATTCTTAAATAACAGCAGCAACCTTGCATCACCATGCTTGATGTGCTTTTGAAATAATTCAATGTTGCAAATTTCTGCAATTATCAAATTTTAGGATTAATGCACATTCCGATCTAGTTTCTGACATTTCTGAGCTTTTAGAGTGGTTTCCGAGTCCTAGGAAAGCGATACAGCTCCATGACGGGGTTTAATCTATCACTTTATACTAATTAATCCATTCTTTGTTGTGTTGAAAGGTGCCCTTCACCTCTTGGTTTGAATTTGATTTAATCTATGAGGTACGACAACATATGTGGGACTCTACAGAACAAGATATTTCCTTTTTGCCTGCTACCTTTAAATAATTAAATCGTTTACAGCTGATCTATCACCATGTAGCAAAAAATGAAGACTTCCATATTTCCCTGCCTCCTTTGTTTTTTGTTAGCATTTTATCACATTGTACGTTCCAAGGACGGATGGAAATGTTTAAATTAATAAAAGTTGCAGGCATTTTGCAGTCCAACAATCATCAGGACAGCAGTAGTCTTTTGATGAAAATTTCTATCTAGGATTGTGATAATAGTTTCTATTCCTGAAGCACGACATGCGCGTCTCCATTGAGATGCAATGAGTGATTCTTGTTATTATTGACGTGACAGAGATTGATACATTCTAAACATATAGTTACATTCGTTTGGATCTCAAGTCAGACAGTTTGTAACATCCATTGATATTATTTTGGGTCTTTCCAAATCGTAAACAGAAATTATTTTGGATCTACAGAATACATTTTGACTGGTTTCGAAGACATCGCACATTTGAAACATTTTTATCATTCACTATGAATTATTTATCCTTGGGATTTTTTATTTTAAATTTGGAACATTTCATTTCAGAATACCAGATCTGTATAAACAAGAGCACGCCTGTGATGACAGATGAACAACGTTTATACACTGTTCTGATGAAAGATTACGATCGGAACACCCGTCCTGTTTTCAATGCCTCTCATCCAGTCAATGTCTCCGTCGGTATTACTCTGACGCAAATATTTGACGTAGTGAGTATAATTTATCATTGTGATGAAATAAGAATAGTTTTATGTATCCAATACAAGCTTTCCCGGAACGCATTGCGGTACCTTACAAAACACCTATATAATTGTCCATTATACAAGTGTAGTGTTAAGGAACGAAAATTGGTACATCATAATAACGGATAAATGAATTTAAACTCGTCTTAACGAATTGAAGAATTGGCTATTTCCAAATAGGAAAAAAAATCGCGATTGTTGGCGTTCATTTGTCCAGGTTTTGTCTTTTCTTTTCATTTCAATCTATTTTGATTGTGTTCGTACGTGTTTGTGTAAAGATAAGCTTTAAAGTCAAAAGGTACATGTGAATTTTTAATTCAACCCCATGTGATCAGTTTACAATATCAGACTTTAACGTCATGGTGTTGGAGATATCTTCGAACACATAAAAAGTTTGTGGGAAATGAATTTCATGTTCTGAGGTATGCAAGCTTTAATTTGTTGTATAACCTAAACTTCTATCCCTTTCTTATTCAGGACGAGAAAAATCAGGTGATTACAACAAATATTTGGCTTGACCAGGTAAGTCATGTCCTGTAAATATGGACGTGAACGTCGAAAGCTATTTGATTGTTTTATCATAAACCATAAACATTTACATTCTAATAGTTCTCTCATTTGTTACATATCTTCATTCTTCTGATATTTAAAATAGTTAAGAAATAAATTCCTATCCACTTGTAAAGAAAACACTATCGATAATATCGTCTGTTGTAGGAATGGAAAGACGAGAAATTGACGTGGGACCCCGCTCATTACAATGGTCTGTCCGTTCTTAGAGTTCCATGCAAAAGTTTATGGCTTCCTGACATCGTCCTCTATAACAGGTTCGTATGTCCATCTATCTGTCCTTAAAAGTCGTGTGACTTTGCCATCCACTGGTCCATTGATACCGTTCGTTCTCTGCAGGGTGTAATCGTATTCGTCCATATACGCATGTGACATAAATATGTCTAGGCTTCTTACCTTTCTATAGCACGAGTATTTTTATTCGTTCATATGGTCCTTGTTTTGATTTGTGTACCGCACAGGCTTACACGTCATGGCTGTCGCCCGCTCCATCACCAATTGCTTTAAACTGAAAGGCTGCATTATCAGCCCGTTTCTCTTGGGACGACTATGATATTAGGAAATATGAGTGTAAAAACTCACCGTCGAGACCAGAAACGCTTTATTATTTTCAAGGCCAATACTATGTCATGAATGACATATTATGCTATGTTTAATAATTCATACCTTATTCAATATAAGGAACGAGTACGTTTTCTAACACAGTGAAAGACGAACAGTGAATACGTTTCGGAACTTCTCTGGAACAAATTTTGTGCATAAACACATGCCAAGATTCCATACACAAAAGGAGGAATTAGAATGTAGTTTGTTTTATCATTTTGTACACAAGTCAGTAAAGTTGTTTTATTATTTTATAAATTTATGTTGAGCTTTCTTTCAATGATAATAAGCAATATTTGTAAATCACAACGTGTCTTGGATCTACATTTCTGTATTTATTAAGAATTACATCTCATCGAGTATTGTATGTGAAAAAGTCCAGAAATGTCCACTCTAATAGTTACCGTGTAATCACTTTAAACCCAGTAGTGAATATAAGGTGCATTTCTTATATTCTCATGTCGGTACTTATTACGTTAGCATTGCTCCATAACGTTACAAAGCATATAACGCATTTGTCTTTTAATTCCCAAACGAATATAAGTCAAGGGGGTCGGCAGCGTGTCAGGATGCGTGTAAATAAGGCAAGTCAATAGCTTGGCGTTACTTTGTCGGTTGGAGATATTATTCACTTATAAACATTCCAAAATCAATTTTCCGTGATCCGAGGGAACTTAGATAATCTCCAATATCGGACACTATGCATAGGAATAAATGTCGTTGTTGTAGACCCAATCATTCATCATTTAGATTCGAATCTGAGTCACGTGGGCGCTTGACTAAAGAGCGATACTGATCAGGATGACCCCTATGGCGGCGCTTGTCAGTTGTTTAATGACGAATTATGGGTAACTTGGCACTCTGGACACGGGGCAATTGGTTTGAACGTGTGCAAGTGTCAACTTTGCTCACAAAAATACCTATCACAGTGATCAACTTGGTTAGAGCGACGGTGTGACTGAGACACAGACGTTATGGGTCACAAAATCTGTCCGTCTGACTGTTACAACTTATCAAAATTTTCTTACCGTGACAACATAAAACACTGAATAGACTCTTTATCCTGACTTATTGCCTGCAACTGAAGTTAGTTTCTTTACTGTGGTTCCTTTTTGGACATAATTGATTGTGTATTTGTAATACCATTTAAATTATATTCTTTATGAGCCACACCGTTCGCTGGCACCGTTTTACTGAAAAAGTTGTATTTATTTTTGTTGGATAAGAAGCTTATAGATAAGGAAACTAACTGTTTCACGAACTATTTTTTTTTTTTTTTTTTTTTTTGGGGGGGGGGGGGGGGGGGGGGGGGGGGGGGGGGATGCGTCCTCTTTGCCTTAAGTATTTCTAACACTTTCACCTTGACCACATGTATTTGTTTAACATGCAACCGACTGAAATCCAAATATATTCCCATTCTCATCATTAAACTGTGCAGGGTACCTTCTAAGTGATGTACATGATATCAAGATATTACTACGAAGGATAAACAAGTTTCTGTCAAATTAGTATATACTTATGTTTTTATTGCAATACTACTACATTGCTCCCATCAGTTCCTGTACCTCTATCGCAGTTTACATATGTTACCTCACCCCTTCTCTCTCAAACATATTCTGCAGGATGTCTCTTTCTGGTCTGCAAAATACAATACTGTTCAGCTTCAGAAAATCAATTAGCTTATGGAAGTATTATAATATTTTGGAGAAAGAATTTGTATTGTAATTGTATTGTATTTGTAAGCTAAACCGAATTTACGAAATATTTTCTCTTCCTCTTAGAAAATTTATTTAGATATTTTTTGTAATAATATAAACAACAGTTGGATGATCAATTGGATTCTGTTTTCAGTGCTGAGGATTATACACAAGGTTTCATGGAAGCTCTAGCCATGGTTTCGAGTAATGGTAATGTTTTCTGGCCACCCATCGTCAAACTTCGAAGCACATGCGCAATAGACATAACCTACTTCCCTTTCGATGATCAAATATGCCGAATGAAAGTTGGATCATGGGCATACGATGGTTTTCAAGTGGATGTGTTCAACAGATCTAATAGTATAGATTTGTCCAATTTTGTCAGCAATGGGGAGTGGGAACTCATCGGAGTTAAGGCCGTTCGGAACGTTGTCAAGTACCAGTGCTGCCCAGAATCTTTTCCGGATGTGACGTTTACATTACACATCAGCAGGAGGACATTATATTATACTTACAACGTCATCATTCCTTGTGTAATGTTATCTGTGCTGACGTTGCTGGGGTTCTGGATGAGGCCCGACAGTGGGGAGAAGGTGACTTTAGGATTAACGGTGTTACTGGCTTTTTCTGTGTTTATGCTATTGATTGCTGAGAACATGCCGGCCACATCCAGTTTTGTTCCACTCATCGGTAAGTAAACGCGTTACAGTGCATAACTATAACTAGTGTAAGGAAATGCTTTATTTTGTACAATCTTTAAGATAGCAGGTGGTGGACATTGCTGTTAGTCGTTCAGTCCCCGTGGTTTGCCTTAACTTTATTTCACGTTTTAATTCATTCGAATTATGTTACGATTCTGAATATAAATATGTACTTGACACTGTTCTTAAATTATCTGATAAATATAAAAACAATATATCTAATTATCAGACTGCTGTATTTCCTAGTTTAGATTTTTGCTTTACTTTCGTCCACTTTGAAGTTTCCTCAGTTGCCTCCCAGACTTCGAATTTTTAGGCCCTCAGCATCACTGACGAGTCCTAGAAGGACGAAACAATGGTACAAATGTATGATGTAATCACACTGAACAAATGAAGCGTGATATACAATGTATATCTTCAAAACTCTGACCTAAATCTGCAACATTCCTGCATATCAATAAAAGATACTGGGTTTAGGTAATTACAGTCTTGTTACGCCTGAAATTAATAATGCAGTCTGTGTTTGTTCCACGTAAAGTGACTTTTTGAAATATCCTTTAGAACATTCTTTTGAAGATAGCTTACAAACTGGAATGCCTGTTATGTACATGACAATCTAACTAAAATGGGTTAAAGAAAACCTAAGAGAGTATAAGTATGAAAAATAATAAATCATATTCATGTCTTATTAATGGAATTACTGTTCGATCGGATATAAGAGGTTAAGAATTCGTTTCATGTTTTGTCAAAATTTTCTTTGTGTTTGCGATTTTTTTTTTTTTTATTTTATTTTTAGAAAAGAAAATGATCATTATAGTTTTTGACTTTTTGTACACTCAATAAATTACTATATTAACGATACCGTTTCGTCACTGCAATAATAAAATCTGCAAGGATACCTGGTATCGATAGATTAAAATTTCTAGTTTACTGAATAAACAAAACGAAATCAATAACATGTCAACATAATAATAATCCTGACTCAAATGCAATTACAAACTAGTGCAAGATATGAACAAATGAAAGATTTAGTACACGGATAATATTACCAGATGTGCAAAAAGATTAAGCGTCTTCTGGTTCATCAACGACACCAGTCTTGGTCGATCCGAGGAAGTAATGTCACGTTCTCCCATGAAAACAATGTATACAACAACAGAACCCACCGGCAAACTAACGAATATCACAACCGTACAGCTTCTTGTTGAACAAAAAGCAGATCAGTTTGCAGTGAGATCTGAATGATGACCGTGAAACTTCCCCATAATTTCCATCAACCCTATGTTATGAGTTTTTCCGTCTGTTGACAACTTCTTGCGCGAACATCTAATAATGGGAACAGGCCCTTGATTATCAGAAATCTTAATAGCGGCAATCATGTAAAATCGGTGAGGACAGTTTATTTGATATTTATTGTTTTAATGATAATTTAATTAATAATTAGAAAATCTTTTCAATGAAGTTATTGTCGTTCAGGTTATATTTAAGTGATGGTTTTTATCCATTATGTCTTAAACATGTTTAAACATATCAAAATCAAGCACCAGAAACATGATGCAGAGGTTTTCTCCTTAATTTCTTATACTCTTAACCAATTATGAGAATACCTCATGGCCTCGTGTTAATGATATGTATATTTTGAAGACTACACATTAACAGTTGATTAACAGTATGTCTGCTTACATGTTAGGGTGGAAACCCAAAAGGGTTCCTTCCATTGGTCTTATAATCAATAAGACGCGGGCGAAATATGTTTGTAAAAGGAATGTTAGAATGAGGAAAGAAAACAAGAGAATTAGAGAAGAATTTCGTATTAATCGTCAGCAATACTGACAACTCGCCGTGAAAATCTAGTTCAAAATAAAATAATCATACCTGTTATGCAATGTATATCTTTAGTTTGTCATAAGACATAAAATATCAATATGTTAATTAGTCCATGGATTTGAACACTTTGACTAAAACACGAGTATAAATCAGGGAAGGTCTTATATCGCCCATTTCCTCACTAGTCATCACTAGTTCAAACTGTACCTGCTAAGGGTTTAGACACGCCATAATTAATGAATGCTAGGAAGATTCGAACTGAAGTGGCCCTGAACGGAAACCATCAACGACTACTTATTTTTGCCTTGGTATTCTTAATTCCTTTAGATATTCGTTACTTCTGTCGCCATCAAGATCTCATGCATTGTAATTGGTTTGACAGCGTGAATGAAGTTTTAGGACTTTTCAAGTCGACTTTGCTGCTCAACAGTCGTTATGCCTTTGTCTGGTGGAAGAGAGTCACATGGCTACAGGACATTTCAATCAGTAGATTTTGTAGGAAAATTACAAAGCCCTCAGGAATACTAGAAGAGAAAAAAATATATGAATACATTTGACGACGGTAGCAATACTGAGACTTAAAACTTAATAAGCACGGCTATCAGAATAGATTGCGATGCACCTTTTGTAGAATGCACTGGAGACAGTTGATGGTCTGAGAAAAGTCGAGATTCTATTTTGGTGACGCTCTGAGGGAAACATCAAATGGAAAGGAGTCTATTGAGAAAATACGGGAAAGATCATGACATTTTTTAATACTTAGATAATTAGATACGTACCATCCAAGCAATGAAGTAAATAGCATATTCCGTCCATCAAGGATTCAGCAGTGATGCTAAGAGTCTAAACCTTCAAGCATATGAAGTATTGACATTTGAATAAGGAACCTTATATTTCATTTGGTAATTTCCGTATATATGATAATTCTTATATAACACCAAGTACATATGTAGACGCCGGGAACTAAATTTATGGGCTAGGTTAGGTTAAAAGACAAAACGGAATATGAAACATGCAGATATAGGAAAAACAAACAAAATGAATTATTTTTTGTTTATTTATTTTTTTCGTTTTTATTCCATGAATATATTTGATTATGACATTAGTGTGTTTGTTTTTGTAGACATATGTATAAGTATGGTATGAAAAATTAAGCACTTTAAATGTAGAAAATGTACCAACGTCTTTATTAAAGCAAATTATTTCGTTCAGTAGTCCGCCCTTTCGTGCTAACAGATACATTGTTTATCCTCTTGGCCCGATTTCTACAATAACTATCGCTTTATCGCTCTTTTCTGATAACATAATGTATCATAATGGTTCAACACATTTCCCCCTGTTGGTAAATATCATTCGTCAAAGATTTCGCTCACTAGTGATAGTTGTTGTGGATCACGTGGATGAAATATGTTTACTGATTGGCAGAAAAGTTTTGCCCTCTTCTTTAGTTCTATTGAATGACTTTACGATCCTTATTTGGCGCTATATAGGTGGCATATTGGTTACATAATTCCATTTCATTTCTTCAATAGTTCGTTTGAACTCGGGTTGTGAAGGGATTTCCTTCTTTTATCTGGTCGTTTTTTTTTGTGAATATTTTTAGATTTATGATTAATGCAAGTCTATGTTATTTCTTTCAGGAATTTACTTAACTACAGTAATGGCACTGACCTCGATGTCTGTCATTCTGGCCGTTGTGACGTCAAACATCAACCAACGCGGTTTCAAAGAAACAGATCTACCATCATTCTTAAAAGGATTTATCATATTCCTCAGCAAAACAATGTGCATGAAACTCGCACATATAAATTACGAAAACCTGGACGAAGTCAAGTTAGAACAGATTCGAAATGGCATGAGGGATAACTATGCACGACATATGAAAACTACTTTTTCGAACGATTCTGGCTGTAACTTGATTGAATATGAAAATGGCGAGCCTCGAGCATCAGGAAATGCTAATGCAAGACTTAATCCGGGAGATCGAAATTGGGAACTCCAGGAGATTTTAAATCGTCTTCAAATTCTTATTCAAAAAGAGGAAGAGAAAGAAAAATCAGACACATTGGCAAAACGTTGGATGGAAGCGTCGGAAGTGATAGATCGGTTTTTGTTTTGGGTTTTTGTCTTTGGAACTGTGATTTCTTCCGTATTTCTGTTGATTATATATCCGACTATCAAGGAAGTGTCAGTTGACAGCTGAGACAAACCATAGCTGTAACAGATCAAAATCCTGCGTCTTCCTTGCGTTTGATTCACGCATGTTTGAATTTTGTCACGCGTCAGTGATTTCCGATACGGATCAAGATGACTCGATATATTTTCGAAAAAAAAAAAATGGATTTATCAATGGTTTGTGGCGAGTCGGAATTTTCTAATGTGGATATGTGTTACCCATTAGAAGTCGCAAATTTCCGACGGAAGGGGGCTTTATGTGACTCCTTAGATGTAAGCAGACTCTGGTTTAGATTTACGTGACGTGAAAGTGTCAGCATGTTTCTACGTGGATAGATATCTGACTTGTCATAATTTGACAATATCGGTTTGGATTAAGGTGACATTTCAGCACTTAGGAGTTTCCGGAAATTACAGGTTAGCACTTCGAATTACGTGCATTGTCAAATACTGCAGCATTAATTCACGAAGATGCTTTATGAACCCGGCTGAATTTGATTTCCTATCGCTGTTCTGTGACATGAATTTATATCAATAGTAACCTGTGTTGTTCGAAATAGATATGCATGTTTATATTTATATTAAACTACGCACGAATATAACAATACCGAAATTATCACTATCACTACAGTATCTTATTAGAGTTAATATCATTCATTTTAGGTCGCCTGAGACGGGGTTCCAAATGACCTTTTGCAATCATCTTTTGTTTATCGTCGATACACTCACTATCTGTTTTTTATAAATACTGATACAAATTAAACTGAATTTCTTGAAAAGTGACATCGCGAAAAGTAAGTAAAAATATGCGATACTTTCCTCAAGGCCTAATTGGCATACATTTCAAAACCTCTTTTCTAAAGACCAAGATAAGATAGAGTCATGAAGTACATATCATATATGGAAGTGTGTTGAAGTGCTTTGCCATAATTGCGACTTTCAGTACCCTGCTCTTTCATTTGCTCATATGGATGGGGTAAAATCTATTGCACCTTGTACATTGTTCACAAAACACAGGATAATGTTTATGAGAAAAAAATGATTCAGAAGTTTTGTAAGGTATTTCGACAGTATGCACATATTGATCTCAGTTGACATCCAAGGGTTCATAGCCCGGACCAAACCAGAACAGAATACTAAATAATACTTACATTAGGGAGCGTAATTTGTACTTATCCGACAGCAGTTTGATTGTTTGCTTCTACATGTATTGACCCTGGATGTCCACCAGAGACCCAAAGAGGTGTGGTGAATAGATGACAAATTGAAGGAAATTCAAACACCTTCTGAAAAAGAAGTATCAAACAGATATAAGGGGTTTGGGGAGCTGTAACAAAGAATTTCATTACCCAAACATTTCACATTTCCCTTGGCTTACTAAAATTCTTTTATGATTTGTTTTTCTTGAATATTAGACACGTTTCAAACTTGGTGCATATAATCAAAATATGATTATTGTAATATAATACTTAGGTGATTCGCTTAAGTCCTTTGATGTCTTCTCTAAAGTTTTGACAAAGAGGACGTCCACTTCTTATATTTGAGAAAAGAGCAGCACACTGCTTGATTGTAAAGAATCGGTATTTTAGTTAGATTATGACTGCAGATTTCGCGTTTCCAAGATAACTTTGTGATTCCAGTATCAATACCAATGGCAATTTATTTTAATTTCATTCATTCAGGCAGTTAGATTACAGTATACAGAAGTGATGATTTCTATAAAATCTGGGCAAAATTTTGAGTGGTGTTAGAAAGTACTCGGAATATCATGTGCGGGTAAACTTTGTACTTATTTATCTTTGTTGAACAATTTAGAAGCTGGATCACAAATATGGATACCGGAAGTTGAAATCCCACCAGCAATAATGATAACAAAACCCTGATAATTCTCTCCGTTCTTATCATTGGCATTTTAATCTTAACGACAATTTGTAAGTTCCGTCAAAGACCCCAAAGGTATTGGTTAAAAAGACTTAAAGAATCAATAGCTAAAGCCATTGTTGTGGGGTTTGCTTTGAACTATTTACCTTGAAGCAATTTCCGTTCTTGCTTATCATGTATTCATTACATCGAATATACAATGCATTGTAATCAATATCAATTGCGTCTGTTTTAAGGACAACGTCAAATCGAGGTATACAAAATGCTTTGAAATCAACTTTGTAAATTAGCATATGAAAAACTTATATTTGTCATAGCAAAACGTCCGTTTGCATTCTATTTTAGAGCGTTATTTTTGTTGAATGACGTATCACGTTTATTTAGGAGTGAAACACAGTGTTAATGAATCGGTTCTAATCAAAACGAAACAGAAAAAAAATATATTATTGTCGTTTGGTTTTTTTTCTGTACATCGAGAATTTCGATAGGAAACGACACTGTTTCCTTTAATTAAAAACCCGGAAATTACCTCAAGATGAAAGTATTGTAAATCAAACAAAAGCGAAACATTGTAATTAGAGAATTGCGATTAGATTTGCATCCTACAGTTGGTTTCAATTTCCAGAACCTCTGATGTGTCCCAGAAATCCGTCTTTGCACTGAATTTTATTATCCTCCCTTGGAGCAGATCAATTAAAAAATCTAAGTTCTGCATTGAAACAGGCAGAAGTACACACAGAAAATTTTTTTTAAAATATGATTAACCAATGAAGAAGTGTTACGTTTGATTAGAAGCCTGTCTGGGAGTCCGAGGGTACAAAATACAACTTCAGGTTTATAAATAGTATTCGATTTGGTAGCTCATGATTGTATATCAGAATCGTATAAATCTCCGTTTTTTATATCATAGTAGCATTTTGACACGTATAAATGTGATTATTGAGAAATATAAATGTTTCGGGAGATATGTCAAATTACTGTGAAGCTGATTCAGTCCTGTGGGATAGTGTTAGAGTTGAAATGGTCCGTTGGGTTTATGACCTACCGATTTGACCCTTGGGATATATTATCAAGCTGATCAAGTCTTCGGGAAATGATTCTCAAGCTGCTACACCCTCAGGACATAATGCACAGTAGACTTGGCCATTGGGTCAATTTGAATTTTAATTTGAACATGGGGGATATGGTACAAAACACTGAATATGACAAAGTCGGCATAGCTCTGGGTGCATGACAGAGTTAATAATCGCGTGAAAATGTGCGAATGTTAAATTGACTTGTCACCAAGGAAACAAAGTGACGGACATCGGCTTTGAAGATTATCACAAAACCGAGTTGGACCTCGGAAAGTATGACAAATTGACTCATAGGACTTGATACTCGGGTAATATGATAGTGTTGATTGTTAATGAATTTATGCTTATGACTTGATGCCCCTAGAGTAATAGTTTTTTTTTTTCCAAATAGTAAACACAAACTTATTTTATAGTCGACTTTATTGCGAAAAGGTATGCACTTTTAGTTCCATCATATATCAACAACCGAAGAATTTCTCTCAGATTTAGACAGATAACCGTCTGTCATTGCCGTTGATTCAATTGCTCATAGTCAATAATTTTGTCAACCGGATTAGATAAAAGTCATTATAATACAATGGTATAAAGATCTTACAGTGGCCGGTAAAGGACTACCATCAGAAAACTTCAACCAACCAATCAAAATGCAAAATCGTGTCTGATCACGTTTTTCTTCAGCTTTTATCATAGCTGACCATCATTAGATAAATGATATCAATGTGTTTCGATTCGCAATCAAACCAATATGGCAACACCCTTTGCAAGCCGCATCCCAACAAACAAGTATATATATTGGAAATTTGCATGCGTCACGCGTGGGTTATCTTTATCTTTTATTGTAACTACGTATATTACTGATAGAAATTAAGTGACACTTTAAATCTTAAAATACATCGCTTCTTTATTTTCTCCAGTAAGCACATGCTGCCGAACACGCATATGAGCGACGCATTTCGATTGGCTGAACAAATCCCGTTGTATTTGTAAGCATTGAGGTTATCTAAACATAGCCCCTTACTGGCCACTGTCAGATCTTCATAACGTAGTGTATAATATTGATCTGTATTTAAATCAGACTGTGATTATATCTCCATACTTTTAGCAGAACGTTTCCCTAGAGAACATATATTTTCGGGAGTCGCTTATTTTGGGTTTTTAATCGAAGCAATAAAGGTTGTTAGTGTTCTTTCTGATGAAAATACTTTTTCCCGTTTCCGTTACCATGTCTTCTCATTCTGAAAAAGTACCATATTTGTATATTATTTTATCGTTTAGGTACATCATTCTACTATCAGTATCGATTTCCACCAATAAGTTTAGATAGAGGATCTTAAATTGTTAGTCTTGTATAAAAGAAGATGACATTGAATTTTGCTTTAATCTATGTTTTCTCATTTCCTGTTTGATGATACCAACACAAAGTGAATTATACATGTACAGTATATGAATCTCTCTTACAGACTCATCATGTTGAACAGAAGAAACATTTGATACGAAATCTTGTTTTCATATTATATGACATAGTGTATATATGAACGAAGCGGACGACAATTTCATTTGCAATTCTTAGCTGCAGGGTATTTATCACGTGTTGCCAAACAGATTGTGTCAATCAGTAAACACTATATAAATCATTAAATTGTCTCTGTTTTCGTTTAATCATCCATCAAAAGTGGACATGTAGTCAAATTATGCATGCATCTGTGACTTTCTACAACAGAAAACAGAAAACTATCATTTGGGTAAGTAAAACTCATTGTGTGAGGCTTGACATCTTCTGCGACCAATTTCCATTTTCCGCAGTTGCCTCCTGGGTTCCAAGATTAAGACCCCCATCATTACGAAGAGTTAATTAATCGGTACATAGCGTTGTGTTACCAATAGGTTAAACATAAAGGAATTTACGTCTAAAAATTACTGACATTTGACAAAAACCCAAGACAATAACAACATTTCAACAAAATCATACTCAAAAGAAAAAATCCAACAAATCTAGGACACTCCCGATAATATACAAGGAGAATAAGACGAGGTGATGCGGATGAGTAAGCGTCTTCCGCTTCATCGACGA